GGGGAGTGCGCATGAGGAGGCCCAATGTCCACCTGCCACCCTACTACCAAACCTATAATTATTTGCACCTAGGTCTGTTCCCCCCTTAGCCTTAATGTTAAAGATAGAGACTGGTGAGTGAAAATTTGTGCAAAGAACTTGTGCCATGTGATTATGACCTCCACTTCGGTGGGGGGAGAGGGGGATTGGCAGCAAGGAGAGACATTGAAGAGTAACACTGGAAGCAGTTTGGCACAAAATTTATGACAATTATGAATAAAAGTTACTTTCTGAATTTTTACAAAACTTCATTCTTACAAAAAATTCCATTATAAATTATACACATACCATTTTAACATAAAATTCAAAGGTCTTAAAAGGTAGTTTTGAGGGAACCAATGACAAGAATCTTAAGTATTGCCTCCTCCCAGGGGGATGGACAACAGAGAAGAGGGTGGAGGGAAACATCAGACAGGGTAACTTATGACAACTATAATAATTTATGAATTATGAAGGGTTCATGAGGGAGGAGGAAGTGGGGAAATGAGCAACTGGTATTAGGGGCTAGAGTGGGAGGCAAATGTTTTGAGAATGATGAGGGCAACAAATGTGCATATGTGCTTGACCCAATGGATGGATGTATGGATTGTGATGAGAATTGTATGAGCCCCCAATAAAATCATTTTTTAAAAGGTAGTTTCAACAACAGGAAATTACACAATACAACATCAATTAACATTATGCTACATTTTATGTTTAACCAGACTGTGAATCTGCTTACCGTATATACTCGTGTATAAGCCTAGTTTTTCAGCATATTATTTTACTCAGCATTCAGGGAAGAGCTGACACTGATCCTCCACAAATTATTCCAGAACATATGAAAGGATGTCAAACTCTTATACTCATTCTATCGAGCCAGTATCACTTTGATACCCAAACAGGGCACATGATGGTGAGGCAGGAGGAGGCAAAAGGAAACAGAGGAAGGCTCTAGGAAGCAAAGGTCTAGACAGAGGTATTAACAGAGGTATGTACGTATGTATGTAAATAACATTAATCCACAAAAGTAGAGGTATCGGCCTGTGTACATATATTTATAAGGCAATACACTGAGGCTGCGGACAGGCCTTGGGCCCCAGCTCATACCCTCCCTCAATACAAGAACATTTTGTTCTAACAGACTGGCATTTTGTTATGTTTCCCCACACACAAACACACAATCGCTGAAGACAAAATGGGTGCATAAGCAAATGTGGTGAAGAAAGTGGTGCCCAGCTATTAAAAGATACAGCCTCTGGGGTCTTAGAGGCTTGAAGTTAAAACAAGTGGCCATCCAACAGTGAAGCAACAATCCCACATGGAAGAAACATACCAGCTGGTGCGATCATGAGGTGTCACCAGAACTCGGTAATAGGCATCAGAAAATTCAACAAACAACATGTTGAGAACATGGGGGTTCAAGCGGAGACCCAAAGCCCATGTGTAGACAGTGGAATATCCCCTCCACAGAGGGGTTGCAGGGAAGGATGAATCATTCAAGGTGCAGTAGAGCACTGATGGATCACACAACATACCTATAGTTCCTTGAGGCTTCCTCACCCCCACTATCATGACCCCAGTGCTTCTTCCCACTCCGGACTGGACTGTAACGTGTACATAAGTATAAGACAAGAGATAAAGCTCATGACACACGGAATCCAGGAACAGGAATGGGAATAGCAATTCCAAAGGGGTAGTGGGGCAGAGGAGGGAAAGATGGGGGAAATGATCGCAATTAAAGGTACATAACCACACCCTCCCCTCCAGGGGAAGAACAACAGAAACCAGAGGGGAAGGGAGACAGCTGGTTGGTGTGAGATACGAAAATAATAACAATTTACAATCTATCGAGCAGGGGGAGGGGGAAGAAATGAGACGATTCCAAGGGCTCAATAGAAAGTAAAGGTCTAGAAAAGAACGATGGCAATATAAGTACAAATATGTCTGATCCAATTGATGCATGGATTGTAAGGAGTTTTAAGAGGCCCCAATAAAAAGATCTTTTAACTAAAACAAAACAGAACAAAAAAAAGATGGCTTTATCAGTGTGATCATGGAGCCAAAGCACAATCCAAGCAATGGACCAAGAAGTGGAAATAGTGCAAAGTACAAGCAAACCAATCCAGAGCAAAGGTCATGGCAACACTTTCGGGAGAATTCTCAAGACATTTTACTTGTTGACTTCCTGGCAGGCCAAAGAAGAATAATACCTGCTTGTTAGAGTGTCTGTAGAAAGTAGCCAAAGCTTTAGCAGAAAAATGGCAGGGAAACGTCAACAGTGAGCCCTTCACCATGACAGTCGTCCTATTCCCCCCTCAAGCAAGGGCAGTTGTAAGAGGAGTTTCCACGAGAAATCATTAGACATCCACCGCACAGTCCTGATTTGACTCCTGGCTTCCTTTTGTTTCCTAAACTTTAAAAATTCTTTAAAGGACACACATTTTCCTTCAGTTAAAGAATAAAAGAGACTATACTGGCATGGTTAAATTCCCAGGATTCCCAATTCTTTTAATTTTTCCTTTCTTCTACTTCCAGTAATTTTTGTCAAACCATTTTATTAGGGCATAATCCAGACATCATACCATTCAATAGTTCAGTCATATCATTGTTGTATAATCACTACCACAATCATTTTCAAAAGATTTTCTTCCTTCTTGTACTATCAATTCCCCATTACCTTCCACATTCCCTGCCGTACACACCAAGGAATCCTTATTTTAGTTATTGTCACTATTGATTTGCCGGATCTGGGTTTCATACATAGAAGAACATAGGAAAATATATAACAGAGAATTGTGGCAGTTACAGAATCTCCTGTCAACTTGAGCGAAGTGGAGTCTAGCCTGTCAATCACATCATAGCCAATGAAGCCTCTGTGTGGGCATAACTTCTGGGGATTCTGGGAACTCCTGCCTTCCAGGAGGCGAAACACACATTCTCCCTGTGAGACATTCCTGTTGACAAGCCAAATGGAAGCTACACTGATGGAGCCAGAGCTCTCGAGCTAGAGAAGTCACGGGGAGACCCACGCCAGTGCTGCGAAGCTTCCACTGCCATTGGATCCACAAGACTTTCCTCCCACTGGTCTGTGATCTTCCTGCATTCGGTGTCAATGCATGTGTTGCATGAGTTTGAAGAGGAATTTGTAGACTGGTGTCGGACATATGGGTTAACATCAGACTTACGGACTTGATCTGGACTGGGCTGGGATGTTTTCTCAATATATAATTGCCCTTTTATATAAACCTGTTGTACACATATAAGTGTCTATGAATTTGTTTCTCTAGTCTATCTGGACAAATACAAAAATCAAGAACACTACCAACAATAATAAAATGTAGCAGAAATATACCCCAATTTGAAACAAGCAAACAGAAAATATCAAACCACATCAAGCTCAAAGTGAAGCCATATTGAAATCAAATATCAAGGTTTTACCATTCAAGTCAGATCTATCTATGATAATCATCTTTACAACACTGTCTGGTAGATTATTCCCATTCCTCAAGTATAGTCAGAGGGAAATCATTGAAGGCTTATTCCATGTATAAATTCTGTAAATTCTGGGCTTCCACTGTCATCCGTATAGCCTTCTGCAAACCAGAATTTCACAGTTTAAGCTCTGACACCATTTCTCCTTTGGATTGGATTATATCATTAACAATCCTAGGGTCACAGGTGTTGGTGTGCTTCTTCCCTGTGGCCTTGGTTGACATCTCACTTAGATGGCTGCTTGTTTGAAAAGAAGCCTTTAAGACCTCAGAACTTGTATCTTTAGACTGCTTAAATGTAGGTAAGCTTAAATATGCAAGTTTCTTGATAGACATAAACAAGTATATGTATTTTAAACATATGTTTAGTTTTTCCTTCGGCATATAAAATAATTGCCATTATTCTTTAAAATGATTGATTTCCCTCATGTATTTACTACTATGAGCTATGGAATTGCTATGGCTTGAGGTGTAGTGCTCAGTTGCTTAGCATTTTCCTTTTTTTTTTACATGAATTAACCCATTTATTACAGGCCAGAGAGGTTTCAGATGGTGGAGCTTCTCCTGGTCTTTCAATTCCTTCAGTCTTCTGATGGCAAACTTGACTGGGACAGCAGAGGTGGTGTTGTAGGTCCAGGCTCCACCAGCTCCTGTCTTCATGCAGGAACCGCAGCGCAGATGCCCACAGCCCGTCTCTTCATCTTGGTTTTACCGCAGAAGGAGCAAGTGTACTTGGCATGTTGGCTGATTTCAATTTTCTTCACCATTTTCCTGAGGGAGGCACCGTAACGGTCCCGTATTTGCCCATGATCCCGACCTTCTTGGTGCGTTTGGCCATCTTGCCGCAAACTAGTCCCAGGCCAGAGCGCTAGCATTTTCCTTAAACAAAAATTATAAGTTCTATTTATTTACCTTTGTGATGAATATGCAGATGATTTCTTTATTATTCTTTGAACTTTACATATATGCTATACATACTTTTGAATGTATGGTTCATTTCATTTATTTAAAAAAAGTTTTAAGGACTGGTTTATGATTCTCTGTTCCCTAGAATTAAAACAAAATTTTGCAATATGAAAGAAAATTAATGTACTTTGAAGCTCTCAGTTTTATAATTTTTTCTTAATTATTGCTGTAGGTGAACAATGAGAGAGGCTTTGAAAATGTAGAACTTGGCGTCATAGGAAAGAAGAAGAGAATCCCACGGAGAGTCATACACTTCGTCAGTGGTGAAACCATGGAAGAATACAGCACGGATGAGGAGGAAGTCGATGGCCTCGAGAAAAAAGATGTGTTACCTGCTGTTGATCCGGTAGGTTTGCTGCTGCAATTTTTCCTTTTGTCAGTTGTTTTGACTAGTTTCTGCTCTAATTGTTGAATGGAAGGATCCTTTTACGTTTTAAATACTCTTCTGACTATAAAATTTTATTTTCTGATTTTCATAGAACATAGTATACTTACATAATATGGATGGATGTATTTCCAGTATTTCACTAGTTTGAAACTGTTTTGAGTGTCAGGGTTTTTTGGTTCAAGGTTATATAATTTTCAATAAGATTAATATTACTAAATAGACCATGTGAATGTTAGACTCTGAACTAAAACACCTTACTACTGCATTTTCTACCTAAAGTTTACAAGTTGTCAGTTCTTTTTATTTTTCCCAACTTTGACTAGAAGGAATCTACATTCTTTAAATTTATATGCCTCACCAGTTAAATTTGAGAATTTCTAAATTATAAAAGATGACTTTACAATTATAAGACTTTATGTACTATTTTAAAAAGTAGTCTTGCCTTTCTGTTTACTCATGTTGAGAGTCTGGTTGATCATATATTTATTGGCTTTCTTATAGGTAGTTTTTGACACTTGTGTTACCGCAATAGACCAAATACATTTATGCTCTTGTATGATAGTGGGAGCCCTTGGGTGCAGTGGCTTACTAACTGCATGGCCAGCATTTCGAACTCACCAGCTACTCTGGGAGAAAGATGAGGTTTTTCTTCTGTTATAAAGATAGTCCTAAGAGTCAGAATCGGTTTGATGGTGGTGAATTGTGTTTTTTGAATTTGGTGCTAGTGGGAAGATTGGCAATAAACAAATATATACCATATGAGGTAGTAAAAAGTGTAATGAAGAAAATAAAGCATAATAATAGGTTAGAGAATTATTAATTAATGTTTGACATAAAACCAAAATATTATACTTTGTTCATCAGACTTAGCTTTAAATAGATTTTCTGTTTAAAAAAATTAGATCCAGATTCTCTTCTCTGGAAAACAGTTATAAGATTGTTCATAATAGACGCTGGAGGCAAGCCCAAACGTAGGTGTAGTTACAGAAATGCTTCATGCACTAGAATTGTTGGGATAAATTATTTTAAAAAATACTCTGAAGGCATTCTTGTCTGTATAACTTTGTGCACGTGTGTGTTTTTAAATGTCATTGTCTCAAAGTTTCCCTGTTTACATTGAACATGATGGAGAAGGCATAGTCATATAGTGATGCATCCTTATAGCTTTCCTAAAAATTTACTCTTAAAATAACCTTGTATATACTATATCCACGTAAGGATTTTCTGGAATTTGGGGGCCCAACCTAACCCTTGGTGGTGGTAAGAAAAATTTCTGTACAGTGAACCCTCGTTTATCGCGGTTAATCGGTTCTAGACCCTACCGTGATAAATGAAATTCCGCGAAGTAAGATTCCTTATTTGTAAATCAAATATTTTAGTAGTTAGAGCATAGAGGACATGAAAAAACATCCTTTAGTCACCATTACACTCGTATTACCCAATTTATTAAACGAAAAAGGGAAAATGCAGTAAAACATTTTGGACGGTACAATTTTCATTTATTATTTATTATATTATGAAGTACAACGGATGGAGCGAACGGAAGACTCATTCAAGTCGAAATGGCGTGCAACCTCCACGATTTTCTTGCCATCTTTGATCATATCCAAAAGTTTTACCTTTTCCTGGATGGTGAGCATCTTCCTCTGGCGCTTATTTTTATTGTCAGAAGGCTTAGAAGAAGCAGCTCGTTTAGGAGCCATCATAGGGCTTAGATAAAATTTCTTAAAAATCGCAAACAATTACAGTACACTGTACAAAAGCAAAAATGCATCTGATACGTAGCTCCGATACGTAGCGATGCAGACAGAAGCGTGTACAGTATGAGCCAATCAGTGGCAGTAATGACGGCGCATGCGCTGTTACGCAAAAACCGCGATAGAGTGAAGCGCGGAAGTCGAAGAGCGAAGTGGCGAGGGTTCACTGTATTTCCTTTAGTTTGGGAAGTCAGAAGCTTGGTTTCAGTATTAATTATGAGCAGACACAATTCTCATTTCATGTTCCATGATTATAAACAAAAATGAAATAACATTTTCCTATCTACATTCACAGTTGTGTTTGACATTTAAATGAGAGGATACAGAGGAAAACTCATTAGAAAATGATTAAGTTCTTTATTCATGTAAGCTATATTAATTAACAGAAAATATAAAATTATAAGGAGCTCAAGAAATCTTACTTCAGGTTTCTTTAAATATTGAAAATCTGTGACAAAAACTTCGTAATTTTCCCTGTAGGTATTATTCAACATCACTTTAGAGTTGATGAAATTAATATATATGATGGAGCAGGCTTTTAAATATCCATTTTGAAGTTTGAAAATTAGTCTTTGTTGATGGTGAGTTCTTTGCAAGTACAGTGACTTAAGAAAACAGGTGCTAACATAAATAAGTAAAAATTTAAAAAATAAAGAAAGGAACCATTCCATAAATGGGGCTGATACAGACGATTATCCATATGGGAGAAATAAAACTGGATGTCCGCCATAACACCTTAAAAAAAAGAAAAAGAAAACAGGTTTTACTGCATGTTGAACACTAAGCCTGGAGCTGAGGAAAGTGCTATTTCACTTGAATTTTAAATAAAAATGACACCAAAATGCACTGTAATTTGTAAAGAATTTATATTAGCAAGTAGAATGATCCTTGCTGACTACTGCAGCCAGATTAAACAATAGCAATTACTTAAACCTTTTGCTAAGAGAGAACAATTTCTTTCCCTTACTTTTTACTGACTTTATTTGGTTTGTTAATTTATAGCATGTACATAATATGTCACCATTTTTTAAAAAACAGCTTAATATAAATTAAAATAATGTAGATCATAAAATAAACCTACAGTCAGTTTTTCACCGTTAAATTACTTTAGTTTTTTTTAGGGGAATTTTAAACATTAATGGACTATGAGTATATTGTGCTTTAGTTTCAGCCAAGGGTAACTGCCTTCCTACAGCGCCTTCTGTGAAGCAGCCTGTTTGACTACTCTGTCTGGGCTCCCAGTCACTGCTCTTCGTCCCTCCTGGCACTGCAGAAGTCGTGGCTCCCTTAGGGTTACTAGCCCTGGGGTATTGTATTGTCCCTTGATGGCTTTCTGAATCCCTGTGTCCATCTTTGTAAATAGTCCCTTTATTAAACTCTCCTCATTAACCACTTTGAGTGCACCATCTGTGCCATCTTCCAGAACGTTGATAGCTAACACTTGCCCATCGGAGTGATTGTCAGTACCTGAAGGCTGCTCTGGCGTCACCTAGTGTGAAGAGCAGAATTTCTATCATAATTTATGAAATTTTCTCCTAATTCATCAAAAACTGGATTAGACAAACACGTCTTGAAAACACACTGTTCTTTAATTGTAAATTTGTAAAACAGACTCCAAGGAAAAACAAAAAATAAGCCAAACCACCTGGTACTTAAAAGGAAGGTTTAGGAATACTACTTCTGGCAGATGATAGATGGAGAATAGGATGCGGAGATCTAGATCTTTTTGACAGTTGTAATCATCCACTTACTAGATTGTACTTTGCTGGGCCTTAAAAAGGAGCACATTTCTTATAATTCCCTTACCATTGATTCAGTTCCAATTAAACTTCTTCAAATATGAGGGAACTTCAAAGTTGGTGGAAAAATTGAATGAAAAGATAATGGTATTTTTCAAGAACTTTTTGAAGCTTTCTCATCAGTGGGCATATGTGGGACCTTATCTTTCCATTTTATTTTTCTGTGAACTCTGAGGTTCCATGGTGCGCACATGTGTAATCTGGTCATGCACATATAAATGTGCTGCTTTCTTTTGTAAAATAGTCAAGTCACAGTTTTGTGGGGGTTTCTTTTGCTTTTAGAAAAAGTAGAAATAAATAAAAGCCTGGCTTTTCCAAATGATTATGTCCTTCAGCCTAGTAATTCCACTTTCAGGGATTCAAGTATTACAGAAGAAACTGTGCTGTAAACCCCAGTAGAACAATAGTTTTTTTGGGGGGCGGGGGGCAAATGATATGTTTAGAAAAAGACTGGACGATACACTAAAATGTTAATAGCAGTATCTGGGTCATGAAAAGTGGACAATTTAGTTTTATACTTTGCTCTATTTTCTAAATTCTCCAGTAAGTAAGCATTGCTTTTAGAATCAAAAAGGGCAAGTTAATTAAAAACAAAAAGAAAAGATAGATCTTAGTAGCGAGGAAAGTGCTTTTATTTCAATTTCTAGAGACAAGAATGAAACATTTCAGTTTTAATACCATGAACTAGAAGATTCTTGGAAGATTCCAGATGTTTCCAGATGTTGCCCCGGTTGGGCTGTTAACTGTAGTATTAAATAAAAAAAATAATGACGCTGAGGGAGGGTGAGGGAACCAGCTCCCACCCGCTGCTTGAACTCACTGGTTCAGTAATACTACTTCTGGGTTCAGTAATGCACAACTGTACGGTTGAGATATATAAGCATTATATTAAAGTCATCGAGAGCATGAGAGATAATACAATAATACAGTCAGGCATGATACATAGCAACATTGCTCACCTCAGCCCAGCTAGGTGGTCCACGTGGAGAGAGGGGGAAGGGAAGGAGGGAAAGGGAACAAGGGAGAGGGGAGTGACCAGGGAGTGAGCAGCAAGGAGCTCAGAGTCAGAGACAGAGACAGACAGTTCTGCTGACTCACACCTATATACCTTTTGGGGGCAATCCAGCCCACTAATTACAGGTAAAGACATACGTCACAGGAAGGGGCTGCACTATAGGTTACACAGCAATGAGAGGGTGGTCTAGGGGATGGTCTCTGGGTCTCCATAGGAACCCTTATCAGTAAGGTGTAAACCCCTCCTACAGGAACCAAGCTAATGGTCCCAAGCTTCAGAGAGTAGTAGGCCATTGTCCCCAGCAGCAGGGAGCAGGCCCAGCCCTACTGTGGGATGAGACAGCAGTCTAGTAGCAAGGATCTGACTTCCCCCACAGTTAACAGCAGTGTGGTGGTAGTGGTGATGCTGGCAGGGGTGGCAGGGTTCTCTCATAGATCCTGAACCACTGTCTTAGGGTTCACTAAGGTTAGCGTCCAAATGGAGGGCTCTCTGCGTCAGTTCTACTTAACTGTGGGGTAGTGTTGGACGCCATTTGGGATTCTCCATGCCGCTTTCTTCATTGCTACTCATAGCGTGGATATGAGCAAGCGCCCTCTCCAGAAACAACCCCTGGAGCATTGGTCCCGAGAGATAGATGCCTTCCTCCAAAGCAGAGCCATTTTCTAAGTAGTTTTTTGGCCCTGTCATTTATCGTGGGGTGCAGAATAAAATCATTTCCTATCCTTTCAACAACGTCTCATTTGCTGTAAGCCAGAAAGTAAGCACTAATGACAGCGCATTTTAAACAGTCTCTTACATAACCCTACGCCCATGTCCGGGGCTGCTTCTGCTCTGGCTGTGGGCAGTACAGCAGATGTGATCAAGGGAATCAGAAGCACACATTCTTTTCTTGGTTGAATTTATGTTTGCATGGATAATCACTCTTGAGTAAATGGAGACAAAGGGTCTACCTAGACAAAGGGTCTAGGTCTTTTCAGGAATCTTGTGGTTAGGTGCCATTGATTGGGCTCCAACTAGTAGACCGTATGTACAATAGAATGAAATACTGCCTGGCCGACACCATTCTTGGCTGTGGCTGTGTTTGAGCTTGTTGCAGCCACAGTGTCAGTCTATCACATAGAGGCTCTTCCTCTTTTTTGCTGCCCCTCTGCTAAGCGTGCCGTCCTTCTCCGGGGATGGGTCCCTCCCGATAATGTGCCCAAAGTAGGTGAGAAGAAGTCTCACTCTCCTCCTTTCTGAAGGTCATTCTAGCTATGCTTCTTCCCGGGCAGATTTGCTTATTCTTCTGGAAGTCTATGGTATACTCAGTATTCTTTGGTTACACAGTAATTCAAAAGCATCATTTCTGTTTCAAGGAACCCTGGTGGCATAGTGAGCTGCACACTGAGCTGCTAGCTACAAGATCAGTCGTTTGCAGCCACCTGCTGCTCCTTGTGAGAAAGATGAGACCATCTACTTCAAGTTTCTAAAAGGCTCAGAAATTCAAAGAGGCAGTTCTGTCCTGCCCTGTAGGGTCACTGCATTGGAATCGACTTGATGGCAGTGAGTTTGATTTTGAGTTTTTGGGTTCTTCGGGTTTCTTATTCATTGTCCAGTTTTTGAATGCAGATGAGGCAGTTGAGACTATCTTGGCTTGGGTGAGATGCACCATAGTCCTTGGAAGTAACGTCTTTCCTTTTTCATACGACCACAGAAATTAGCATACTTTTCACAGCAAGAAAGGGTTATATGTTGTTTCTTTTTCTCCGTTTTATTCTTTCTACCCAGATATTACAAATATCCTTGTGTTTGCTCTTTTACTAAAATGAGTATGGGTATATTTCCTTGTTTTTCCTCTCTTGGGGAACCAATATTAAAAACTTTATTAATGTATTTGGCTGTTTGCTTTCTATTACTTTTTTTTTCCTTTTTGTATAGAAAAATACCGATACAGTGAAGCTTGCTCTAGTTCTGATTTCACCCACAGAGGCAAATAAAATCCATTTGGTGATGTTCATGAAAGTACTCTATGAGGTTAAAGAGCCACGGTTAATTATGGATTGCATTTTGCCAGTGGTCTTGGCTTACCAAATATATACCAAGTTTGTCTCGGATTGCATGACCTAATCCCTTTTTAATCCTTAAATAAAATCTCATCTTGCCATTTATGTATACCTTATTTTACCCCTCATTAAAAACTCATTTGCTATGACTTCAGTTACACTGCTAGATTTTTCTGAATCTTAAATTCTCCACTATTCCATACGTTTTCTAGACTATATGACCTCTTAAGGGTCTTTCTGTAGACCACACCCCCCTCTCTGATGTGTTTATGAACAGTGAAGACAAAGATGGTAGTAAGGCTGGAGCAAGGAAGTCTTGGGTTATCCAAAAAATGGTTTACCAACCAGGAATAATCGGCCCATGATTTACCAATTTCATTTTGGTGGCTGCATTATTATTTGTTTTTTTCTTGAGCATAAAGTGGTTTCACAATGTGTTTATGTAATTCTGTCTATAAAGGTTTAAATTATTTTGTTGTAATCTATAATATTGCCTGTAGAATATATGACAGTGTAAGACACGAAATAACAACAATAATATATAATTGATCAAGGATTCATGAGGGTGGCAGGGTGGGGGAAGGAGAGGGAAAAAAGGAGCTGATACCAAGGGCTCAAGCAGAAAGGAAATGTTTTGGAAATGTTGATGGCAACATATGTACAAGTATGCTTAATACAATTGAATGATGGATTGCTATTAGATTTGTAAGAGCCTCCCAATAAAATGATTAATAATAAAAAAAAGAATACATACAATACTCTAAATGCCTACTACCATTTCATGTAAATTATTTTGACTGCTTTATGTTGGTCTGAAGCATGAATTTAGGTGTGAATGTTGCTAACCTGACTTCTTGTTGCAGACAAAACTTACCTGGGGTCCCTACTTATGGTTTTACATGCTTCGGGCTGCCACATCGACCCTCTCAGGTATTGGTTTTCTGTTTGAATATTGTACATCTACTGCATATGCTCCAAGAACAGGAGCATTACCAAGTGAGATGTTTCCAAAATGAAAGAGAAATAGTAGAGTTAAATCCCTGTAACCTCCACAGCTGGCTAGCAGAGTATATACTTGGTATATTGAGCTGACTTATATTTATACTTAAACCACCTTCAGCTCTAGGTTGGGTTATAAAACAACAAAATAGCTCACTGAAAAATGGCTGTATTAGTTTAGATATATTTCCATGCTCTTAAAATCTTTCTTTTAGCAACTGTTTTGCCATTTGGTCACTACTGATATGTTCTCAGGCCTGTAGTTGTAATTAATTTGTATAGTAGTATATGTTACTTCTTAGTTTGAGATAAGATTATTTCATATTTGACAGAAATCCCAATTTTAACTCCACCATAGGTTTTCTCACTTTCTGCTTTATATTATAGTTTTGTGAATAGCAATTCATTCAACATTTGTTGAGCACTCAATACATGCCAGACTGCTTGGTGTAATGGAAAAAGCATGAACTTTAGATTCAGACTTGAATTTGAATGTGGATCTGTTTTGTCCTCTTGGGCAAATTTCTTAACCTCTTTAAGCCTAACCTTTCAGTGCCTGGCACATGGTAATAATTCAGTGAATATTGTAGTATAGCTATTCTCTTTAGCCCTATGCTTATCTCATCCCTCTAAAAGTACTTCTCTTTGAAGAAAAATACATGTAATAGCCCATTATAAAACCCAGCAATAAGTGTTATAAAAGCAGTACAAACACAAAGTACTATTGGGATCCCAGAGGGAGCTACTAATGCTTCTTGCAGAAATCAAGGAAGATGTACAGAAGAGAAATGAGATGTAGGGGACATTGAGTTTATGTCAGTGGAGGTAGAATAATTTGGAAAAGGATATCAATAATGATTGCACAACACAAACAGTATAGTTAACAACATTGAATTATACAATTAGAAGTTGTGGAACTGGAGAATGTTCTGTTTCGTATATTTTTGCACCATTAGAAAAAAAATGACACGTATAACAATGACTACAAAGAAGAAGAAAATGTTCTAGAATTGAATATGGTGACAATTGTACTACTTTTCTTGATATGATTGAATTATTGAATTGTGTGACATGTAAATGAAGTGCTAATAAAACCGTTAAAATGGGCTTTGTTTTTATAATCTCCCTGAGAGCAGGAACCGAAATTTGTATTCCAAGAATGTCTTACAATAGAAAGTGCTTAAGAAATGTTTGTGGAGTTGAATAAGTATTTTAACTTTTGTATCTTTAGTGTGTGACTTTCTTGGAGAGAAGATTGCATCTGTTTTGGGGATCAGCACCCCAAAATACCAATATGCCATTGATGAGTATTACCGGATGAAGAAGGAGGTGTGTCTCCTTTTTGCATGTTCTCAATTGTCTGGTTTGCGGAGACTTGAGGGGGTGCAGAGTGAACGTAACTTTTCTCCAAAGAGCTCCCTTCTACCAGGCATTTCGTTCCTGTGCCGTGGGTCATCTCCAGAATTCACATAGATTTAAAAAAATGTCTCAGTTTCTCTATGACCTATGTGCAGAACTAAGTTAGATTTCAAGAAAACTTGAGGAACCTGGGTGGTGAGGCTTGAAGGAAAATAGAGAAAGGAGAACAAAGGGGGGGAATAAAACTATCCTTAGTGAAGTGCATACTACGTGCTCAACATGCATGTCAGGTCTTAGTACTTTCAGGAAAAGGGAGGTGAGGGGGCTAGTGTAGTGATTAGAGAGCAGATTTTGGAATTACCTACAGATTTGAATCCCATCAGTTCAGTGAGTGGTATTATAGAGCAAATTTGACAGTGGATGTATCAATATTGTATACCTTGGGATGTGATTGGCCTGGTTAATACTAAATTTTCAGCTCTTAATTTACATTTGTTTTTTAGGTTTTATCCTAGGAAATGAATCAACTATAATAATCTTAACTTTATACTATCACTATATGTTTATTTGTGTTTAGCAAATAGTATGCGTTTAGTTGGCATAGTATGCAAAAGATTCGAAGAAACGAGTTACTCATTAGAACAGGATAAGAAATTGTTATGATCACTTTGACATCTTAAAGCATCAAGCGGAAAGTCAGTATTTATGTCCCGTCATTTTGGGTCTCTGAGGTCAGGAGTCAAGGGAATCAGCTCTGTAACATTGTGGAGTGCTTCTAAGGGTCTTTGTTTCACTCACGCCCTGGCTCCTCCGCTTCACACAGCTTCTCTGGATGTTACGCTCTAACGTCCCTACGACACACTCGCTGGTGTGTCCTGGTCACGGTGATGTGCTGTTTCTTACACTTAAACTCTGCACTGCTGGTTCTTCTTCCTGGAATGTCCTTCCTTCGTACTTATGAGAGGAGCTTCAAAAAAGTTTGTGGACAATGGAATTAAAAGATAGTGGGATTTTTCCAGGAGCTTTTTCCATAGATAGCTGATTGCCTCACCTTTACATCTTTGCTCACTTGTTGCCTCAGTAAAGTTGACTTGACCACCCTTAGAATTAGAACCCACCCCCTTCCCACCACCACACACACAACCTTTACCTCACCTGTACTTCCAGTGCCCTTATCCTGCTTGCTTGCTTTTCCCCATGCTTCACACTTTTTAATGTTCTGCGTAGGGGCCCTGAGCAGTGCAAACGGTTCAGCACTTGTATGGACAGAAGTCTGGTGATGTGTTTTGAACCCCTGGAGCAGAGTTCTATTTGACATCAACTATTTTGGGTTCTAACATACTCTGTGACTTATGTTCTTATTTATTCTATGTGATGTGCCTATTATAATCTTTACAGGTACAATGATTTTTTTTCTTATGTTCAGTTTGAGAACTTCAAAACTAATGCCTGGTGCCTAGTGGACATTCCATAAGTATGTGTACAATGTATTTATAGAATCTCTCCTATGGCTAAAATGTCAGGCAAAGCACTTTCAAGTACTCATTTTATTGTTTATCCTCATAATCTTTCAGAGAATAGAATGATTTATATATAAGAAAATACCAGGTACAGAGAAGCTTAAGTAACTTGGCCTAATTTCAAATCTAGGACGTGGAAGAACTGGTTTTAATATCAAATCTTCTCACTTCAAATTTAGTTCTCTTCCCTGCAACTATGGATTAGGGGGAAGAACACTTGGTTCCTGTCTCCTGCTGCCCCAAGCAATCCAGAAGCAAGTGGTTTGAGTTGAGGCTCTCTTGCTGCTCCAGTTACTAAATGCTAAAGTGGAGAGGATTTTGCTGCCTCTGTGGTAATTCTGGTGGCATCGTGGGTTACATTTTGGGCAGTTCATTGCAAAGGCATAAATTTTAAGCCGCTAGCTGCTCCATGAGAGAAAAATGAGGATTTCTCCTTTAAAGATTCACAGCACCAGAAACCCACAGGGGCAGTTCTACTCTGTCAATACAGCTATTTTAAGTCAGAATTGTCATAACAACTGTGACGTTTTAAAATTTTAATTACCAATTCATCAAGCATTTATTGATTGCTTACAATCCTAGGAAAATGGAAGAAGGGCCTTATATTTTTTTAAAGCAACTGTTATTTTTCAAGGAGCCCAGGTGACCTAGTAGTTTAGGTGTTGGACTGTTAACTGGAAGGTCAGCAGTTCAAAACCACGAGCCATTCCATGGGAGAAAGGATGAAACTATCTACTCTTGTAAAGTTTTGTAGTCTTAGAAGCCCTCTGGTAGTTAATGCTTTGTTCTAGGGGGTCGCTATAAGTCAGAATTGACTCAATCAATGGCAGAGAGTTATTTTTTCAGTGATTTTGCTAGTTGCTATATGAGGTGCCTTATGTAAGTATCCACTGTTTTGTTCAGTATTCATACAGCTCTCTTTTAATTATTCCATTTTTAGGATAAAACAAGAGAGTCATTATACAAGGGGGACCCCCCGCCAAAAAAAGGAAAAAAGCTCCGCTATGAGGAGCTTTAGTAATATACATTTTTCCTGCTAGGCAAGCATCTAGCAACTCACTGTGAGTTAGTGCACCCAGTGGCATTGCCTGGGAAGGTTCTCTCTGGTCACATTGAATATTTTCGTAAAAGCAGTTTCTCTTGAACTTTTTTTTGGTGATGGCTGATTTAAGAGAAGTGTGTGGCTGTGAAATTTTGTTTCCTGTGCTGGAAAATTGCCACAAAATCACTATTGTGATGTTGAACACAGCTTACAATGACCATGCTATGGGAAAAACCCAAGTGTACAAGTCGTTTTCTCATTTCAAAAAAGGTGAAATGTCAACTGATGACAAACCTTGTTCTGGATGTCTGTCAGCTCCCTGAATGGACAAATATGCCCACTCCATAGTACATTCAGAGTTCATTCCACCAGGTCAGACTATTAATCAAGCTTCCTATTTAGAGGTTTTGAAAGATTAACTGTGTGACAAAAAGGGCCTGATTTGTGGCAGATGGGGGACTGGTTTTGTCACCATGACAATGCACCTGCTCACGTGGCCATCTCAGTGTGCCAGTTTTTGGCAAAACACAGTATGCCTCTGTTGCTCTACACACCTTATTCACCAGACCTTACTCCTTGTGACTTTTTTGTTTCTGCAAATGAAGAGGGACATGACAGTGATTTGATGACGTATAAGAGGGAATAAATTAAATAAGGGAGGGGCTGTCAGCCATCCATGTCAGCCATCCAAACAGATGAGTTTGAAAAATGTTCCCAAGAATGGAATTGTAAATTTGACAAATGTATTAAGTATAAATGGAGAAAAAAAAAAAAAGTATAAATGGAGAGTACTTTGAAGGTGATAAGATTGTTTTGTAAAAAAACCAAATATATAGCTTGGGGGAAAAAATCCCATTTGGGTGGGGGGCCCCTCATATTTAGGACATGTGGACTGAGTGAAGGAAGAAAGTGGATTTGGCTTACAAAAACCTTAAGTACTGTTGTAGAATTCTGTATGTGCCAGTTGTTAAGACACAGAGGTTAGGACAGTGAATTTAACCTTGAAGAATGACAAACCTGTAGTACTTGAGAGCCACAGGGTCTGATCCAGGCTCTGCCATTTACTAACCCTGTAACCTTGGGCAGCATACTTAACCTCTTGAAGCTTCTATTCCTTCCTTAAAATGAAACTTGCAGTAGCCATAGCTCAGGATTGCTGTACAGACTGAGTGAGCTCATAGTATGAGTGCCTAGAATAGCATTAGTGTATATTTCTGAGCAAGCAGCAAATACTAGTGTTGTTCTTCAGCAAGCAAATGAGTTAAAGCTATAATATAGAGGCAAAAAGAGAGATTATATGCTAAGGAAAATGGTAAGTGCATTGGACACAATATGGGAGTTGGAGATGACTTTGGAAAAGTCAGCTGATTTTATGTTGGGTGATTTAAAAAATATTTGGGAATAAATGCTACTACTAGCCTTGTTTAGCGTGCATTACCTAATTTAGACTGTTAATACCTCCTGAAATCATCTCAAACAAGGTCCCAATTGATTTTCCTAGATAAGCTGGTCACTTTGTTCTAATCATTTGACAGATTCAACTCCCAGTCAACCTTCTCCAGGAATTCAATATTTCCAGAGCTATTATTTATTTGCCCTTTCTAAAGCTCTGTAATGCTATTCCTCTCCTTTAAAACATTAACATCCCTACTAAATTATAAATTCTTGAGGGCTTTGGGGAAATGACAATAGAAGAATATTTCCTGTCTTTTGAAAAAATGAAACAAAACACGTCCTCCAATTTAATATTGGAAGAAATGTCCAGACGGCTCCTCTGACACAAGGCTAGCGAGACTCTGTCTTACATACTTTGGACCTGCTGTCAGGAGAGACTGCTCCCTAGAGAAGACCATCAAGGAGATGGACTGACAGTGACTGCAGCAATGGGCTCCCGCATAGCACCATGTGTGAGGGTGGTGCAGGACCGGGCAGTGTTTTGTTGTGTTGTGCTATGCGTTGGAACTGACTCGATGGCCCCTAACAAACATTGTGTTTGCATACAGTTGAAACAGAATAACTAAAAAAAATCAGTACAATAGAATTTAACCCCACAGAGGGCACTGATTTAGAATAGAAAGCAAAAACCTTAACATCTCTTTCTGTTATTTAGTAACATTCATATCAATAGAAAGGGAATTAAATAAATAGATTACATGTTGCAAAAAAAAAATTCTTGAGGGCAGCAATTCAGTGTGTGGATCTGTTGACTGTTTATGGGAATAATATCCATACTTCCCCTTTAGTAAATGAACCAGCTTATTCAGTTGCATAGGTTGACAGAAAATGCACCCTATAATTAAAATAATATATGTAGTATTAGCTGATTTTTTAGTTTATTAGCCTTAAAACTAAAGAGCTATAGTCCCTATCAAAGCCTTACCTAAGATAAGCAGGTGCTAATACCATATATATTTTAAAAGCTTTATTTTCTTTAAAATGCTATATGATACTTATGTGAAGGAAGAAAGTCTTAATGAGACCAAGCTGAATTGGACAGGACACTCATGTTTTGACCTGGTTGTTGGTGGTGGTGGTGGCAGTGGGGACTGACAGTAGGAGAAAAAGTACTCTCCCTTGTGGTGGTGGCAGTGGGGACTGACAGTAGGAGAAAAAGTATTCTCCTTCAACAATTTTGTTGTTTTCCCCTTGGTAGGAGGAAGAAGAAGAAGAAGAAAACAGGATGTCTGAAGAAGCTGAAAGACAGTATCAAGAACAACAGAAACAGATGCAGGCTGATTCCGTTGTTCAGACAGATCAACCTGAAACAGTGGTTTCTACTTCCTTTGTGAATATCAATTTCGAAATGGAAGGAGACTGTGAAGCCATTATGGAGAGCAAGCAAAACCAAAATCCAGTCTCCGTCCCACCGTAGAAATGACTACCAAACTTCAAATCTTGAGGTGGTTTTTATACCATGAACTCTCATATTCTCTATCCCAAGGGACTTAATATACTTATTTATATTTAAATTATTAAGTTATCCATAACAGGAAAATGTTTCTTCATTCTTCGGCTCTGTCAAAAGCCATTTTGGAAATTTGTGTATTTGTACTATGCATTATGCTACATTAGTGAATTAACAAAACGTTTTTAAAAATGAAGGTCTAGGGCCTTACTTGCTTCTTAAGAAGAGTTTTGAAAAAGATCAAACTTGTCAGTTATTTGTAAAATGGGTAAATTGCTGATTAAGTCTTATTGGAGTTGATTTTCCTGGTCTCAATTAAAATGAGGACACCCCCCCCTAGATTTTCTCATATTGCCTTGCATTTACATATGGCTATTAATTTTGCACTAAGTCTGGCTCACTGAGTATAATAAAAGGATTAAGATGGAAGCACTTTGAATTTTGTCTCATTCAAAATAACCTCATTTTATGGAATGTTTGACCACTTGGCACCCCCTGTGCTCCAGTGTTTAATGGCTGATTTCTTTGGATGTCAATTGCCTGCCAGGCTTTTCTTGTGAGTCCCTCTGAAAATACTAAACACGTAAACCACCCAAGGACTGAAGTTTAGAACACCTCTGAATATTAAGATGGGTTTCCAGTTTTCTTTACTGCAATCTAGTTGATTCCAACTTGGCAACTCTTGATGGACAGGTAGAACTGACCCTGTGGGTTTCTGAAATTATAAATCTGTAAGGGAGTAGAAAGCCTGGTCTTTCTCCTGCAGAGTGGCTGGCGGTTTCCAGTTTTTAGTGATCAATTAATCTTATTATACTTCTTTTCAGTAGTTATTTAGTTAGCATGTTAAAAGTACTATTTATGGAATCAATTTATCTTATTCAAATGGTAATACATAATGATCCGATCTCAAAGCATTTGTGAATCAAGATTTAGTCTCGGAGTTCACCTTAAAATATAGCACAAGGAACAATGGAAATAGGAATAGTGAGGGAGGGATAGTTTATACTTGAAGCAGGTTGGCTATTTCTCTACCCATTGTATTGGATACAAATCTTATTAAGGGCATGTAATACAAAACTAATTTTTAAGAAATTCCTAAATATATGTTCCGAATCTTTATGCTAAAGCTACACGGTGAATTTATAACCAAAGGAAGAATGTTCTAGAAATGCTTTTAAATGCTTGTTCACAAACTTAAAAATTAAAACAGCTTTTACAAAAAAACAAACCAACCAGCTTTTAGAAATCATTGGCTACCTTAATACACTTATTTTTTTAACATAATTCTAAATAGCATTAGGCGTTCAGTCTTATAAAATATGGTGTCAGCAAACTTGTAACACGAACAGTAGGCCTATTATGGAAATTCATTATCAATGATCATGCACAGTACGCTACTAAATTCTTCAGCTATAATTTAAAGGCTTTAGAAAGGGTAAACTACATTATGAGATTCATGGAATGGTGATTCATAGATATAATCTTTACTCATGGATATAAACAAATTCAATGTTTACATGATTACTTTTCATACTACGTAGATTATCTAATTGTCAGCACAAATAAGTTTACCTACCAATAGCTTTAAAACATGATCATCTGACCTCTTCCATCAAAATAGTTAATAGTATTTCAAGTGAATGCATGCACATACAAAATATTCTACATCTCTTCGAGAGACATTAGTATCTAAAGATTACCGAAGACATTTTCTGGTTGTGGTGACACATGAAGATTTTATATTTCTTGAATTTTAATTTCTCTACTTGTCCCAAAGTGGTAAAATTTGTAATGTTTATAAATAGTTAACAGTGCCTTAAAGTTTTATACTTTGTTTATGCAAACTATAAAATTTCCCATAAATGCATTGTGGTTTGTCTTATTTTAAGTCTCTTTTTCCTAATTCCTGTTCAAGCCTTTGAAGAACTCCTAATCACTCTGGATTGTGATACTCTGCCCTCTTCTTTCACCTCATAAATCAAGCACAGCAGTTCATTTAATTGACAGTTCTTTTACAATGCCTTGGCTTTTAATGGCGCCCTAGTGGTGGTGTGGTTACCCATTGGGCTGCTTACATCAAGATCCCCAGTTCGAAATCATTAGCTGCTCTTTGGAAGACAAAACTGTCTATTCCCATAAAGAGTTCTGGGAAACTTACAGGCAGTTTTGTCCTATAGGGTCACTATAGGTTGGCATTGAGTCTTGTGGTAGTTGAGTGTTGAATTGATGGCTCCTAATAAAACATTTTGTAAGATATAACACTGATACATGTTTATAAAGCTAGACAACAATTTTATAGCAATTTTAATGAAAAAATACTGTATATACTCATGTATAAGCCAAGTTTTTCCGCACATTTTTAATGCAGTTTTTGTAAAATTAGGTGCCTCGGCTGATATTCAGTCGGCTTATACTCGAGCATATATGGTACTCTATTGGAAAAAGCCTATTTAAAAAAATTGTACAAAAACTTCTAATCCAGACATGAAATAACTGTGCTATTTTGTTTAGGTGCCATCCAGTCAGCTCGAGCCAATAGTGACCCTATGCCCAGAACAAAACACTGCATAGTCCTGCGTCATCCTTACAATGGTTCCTATCCTTAAGCCCATTGATGTAGCCACTGTGTCCATCTTGAGAGCCTTCCTCTCTTCCGCTGCCCTTCAACAAAGTCTCGCCATCCTTGCCTCTAATGAGCAGACTGGCCTAACTTCTTCCAGTACAGATTGGTTTGTCCTTTTAGTAATCCATGGTACTTTTAATATTCTTCTCCAGCACAATTCAAATGCATCGATCCCTCTTCAGTCTTCCTTACTCAATGTCCAACTTTCACATACTTAGGATGAAACGGAGAATACCATAGCTTGTATCAAGCACACCTTAGTCCTCAAAATAACATCGTCTTCAATACTCTAAAAAAGAGGTCTTGTGCAGCAGATTTACTTAATGCAATGTCTTTTGATCTTTTGACTGCTTGGTTGTAGATCCAAGCTAGGCAAAATTCTTAACTTCAACCTTTTCTCTATTTATCATGCTACCTCTGGGTCCAGTTATGAGGATTTTGGTCTTCTTTACATTGAGTTGTAATCCATACTGAAGGTTGTAATCCTTGATCTTCATCAGCAAGTGCTTCCTCACGTTCAGCAAGCAAGGTTGTGTCATCTGCATATTGCAGGTGGTTTATAAGCAAGCCTTCCTCCCAGCCTGATGCCATTCTTCATATAATCCAGCTTCTCTGGTGACTTGCTCAGCCTGATTGAACTAGTGAGAATACAACCCTGATGCCCACCTTTCCTGATTTGAAGTCATGCAGTATTTTTGTTGTGTTAGCACAACTGCCTGCTGATGCATGCACAAGTTCCTCATGAACACAATGAAATGTTTTGGAATTCCCATTCTTCCCAAGGTTACCGAGTTTATTAGGGTCCACAGTTGAATGTCTTTGCATAGTCAATGAAACATCTTTCTGGTATTCTCTGCTTTGAGCCAAGATCCATCTGACATGCAATTGTATCACTTGTTCCATGTCCTCTTCTGAATATCTGTGCATGTACTGCTGCAACCGTTGTTGGATGATCTTAAGTAAAATTTTACTGTTTGTGATATAAGAGTTCTAATAGTTTGAGCATTTTATTGGTTCACCTTTCTTTGGAATAGTCACAAAATACTAATATAGGGGAAAGTATATTGTCTTTGATATATGTTTACATAATATGATTGGAAGTTAAATGACAACATAAATTATCCTTAATATTCAAATTCTGAATGTCAGAAACTTTTCCTAATCGAACCTCTATAAGGAGTGTTAGGAATAGAAGAGGATATAGACTATGTGGTTATTACTCTCATGAGTAACTGCCTCTTTTTCCTGAGACCAGAACTGGCTAACACTACTGAACATTTGATCATCCTGGATCAAAAGTAGAAATATGCAGAAAAGAATGTCAAATTGTCATGGACTCTGTGTAGTCCCAGAGGATGGATCTGCCGCTAATGCCCTGAGATCTTTAAACTTTAATCCAGAAATATCTCCTGAAGTCTTAAAACAGCAGTTTAGCTTAACCACCAAAAAAGGTCTGCCATGAGCATTATACTCTTTTTAAAAGCTACTTATATTGGGATCAAATTGTCACAGCCTCAGATTAGGAACTTCAGGGGGATACCTATGTGGACGAACAACTCAGAAAAGGTGGGTAAACGATGGTTACACAGATCGAAGAATGTAAGCAGTGTCACTAAATTGAATACGTAGAAACTAAACCACATTTACCAGAGAAGTTAAATGAGATCAGAATTTACTATCTCCTAAAAAAAAATTTACTATCTCCTAAAAATCAGTTATTTGGCCCTACCGCTTCCAAACTAAGGAGCCTGGTGGCGTAGTGGTTACACATTGGGTCACAATCGCATTTAAATTTCAGTCTCAGAAACCCACTGAGGCAGTTCTAATCTGTCCTAAAGGGTTGCCTGCCATGAGTCAGAATCAACTCGATGGCAGTCAGGTTTTTGTTTGTTTTTTGGGGGGTGCGGGCAGGGGAGGTTTCTAAACCATTGCAACCAAATTTCCAGTAACCAACACATTTGCTGTATTATACAGGCATATGGAAATGTTTTATTTAGACCTTTTCTGAGAACTCTAAAGGTTTTCATACAGCATTCATGGTTTCATAAGTCAGGCATCATCAAGGTCTGTAGCATTTTCACTGTCATTTGCAACAAGGGCTTCTCTGTTCTCATACGTCCAGAAGCCATTGAGATCAATTAGAATGGTGGTGACTGTGTCTCCTTGATTACTGTTGATTAAGTCTTGAAGAGAGATTTTCAAAGGATCCTTTGGTTTTACCATGTCAAATATTTCATCCTGTAAGTGGGGAAAAATACAGTGAAATCTGATTCAAGACTTTCCATGATATAATGAGCTAAAATTCAGGGCTGTGTGCTCGTTTTTGTTTTTTCCTTTCCCCATTTAGCAGACAATCTCCTTTACCTACAATCACAAAATTATTTTTTAGTGCAAGTCTCCATAACTATGTGATAGCTATTCTAAATTATATAAATGAAAAAAGAGGCTTAGAGTTTAATTGCTAGTTAGAATTATCTAGTGCAGTGCTATTTGACTTACTACCTTCCTACACTTCAGAATGGTGTGGGACTGTGTACGCTTTCATTCTGTTGTACATAGGGTCACTATGGGTCAAAACCGGCTTGAGGGCACTTAGCAACATACTTCACTACTCTCTTCTAAATGCTGATTTAATACTGAAAATGTAAACATTGCAGAGTCAAGATATAAGTTTCACTTCCAATACTGATGTCAACTTCCAGGCTTTAGATTGCAGAGGGGAAGAACTCAGATATTCTCATGACTATTTCTAAAGAATTAATACATGGCTTCTAAATTTTTCATAGTAAGATTAGTCAGTATTTTAATAGTATCTCAAAGAGACCAACTGCATTAAGATTAGAAGCACACTCTGAATGTAGTCAGTGTCATTGAATTGTACATGTAGAAACTTGGTTTATTTTTTACTATGGCTATCCTCTGCCCCTAACACTAGCACAATTCAGATAAATGTGTAAACTTTCAATTTTATATGTTTGTTCCTAAAATTGTCCGATGCAAAACTTTTAAAGTTGTTTCATTAATGTTAAACCAAAATAGTATTTTATGTTACTCAACCTGAAACTAAATGAGTGCTGAAGACTGAGTGTTTAATAGTTGGTAGGTCTGACTAACAATACTGAGTAGCAATATGTTTCAAATAGTGTAGTTTCCGTATGGTAGGACTAATGTCTCTCCAAACTCATAGCAGACCAAAAACATGCTCTAGTCGAATAGTTACCAAGTAGAGAATCTAGTTAATAGCAGAACAGTCTATGAAAGCTTGCAGGCTATATCAATTCTCATAATTTTTAAGAAAAATGAATTAAAGCTTCCAATGAGTACACAAGACTGATAAACTAAAAATTACACAATGCAGTCAGTCCAAATGTCTCAATTTATAATGATTTAAATATCAGAATAACACCAAATAACTGATTCTATGTAGCACATACTTCATAGCTCATAAGCTGTTTTCAAAGAAAATTCATTTAATATAGATGATTAATATGTAGATTAAAGGAAAAAGTAACCTTGACATCTTGAAATGAAACAGGATCTTGTCCATGGATTTTCATTAGTTCCTGTATGGCCTGCATTGAAAAGAAAGAAAACTGTACACAAAAGAAAACATGACAGTTGTCCTCTTGCCCTAGTTCAGCCTTGCCTAGGTTTAGTTCCTTTTCTACTGGATAACAAGCGTCATTATCTTGCCACTATTCCAAGCTTCCTGGATCTCATTCTATATCCAGGTAGCAAAACCTGAAAACCAGATCAGTGTAACCATCTCCTTTTCTAATCTTACAGTACAGCTACTGAGAACTGCAGATGGAAATGATAAGACTGAAAAAGAATTTAAAAAAAAGAAAATCAGATTGCATATTGCTGCTAGTCCACACGCAGGATCGCCATGTGCCCGAGCAATTGTTACACTCCTCCATTTTTCCTAAATACTGTTCATACATACCTTCATCCCTCCTCAAGTCTCCAAGATAAAGCCTCCTTTATCTTGCCTTCTACTTGACAGGAAAAAAAGGCTGACTTTTCTTCAAATTCTTCCCTTGTATAAACTTTATTAAAAAACAACAAAAAACCCAGTTCGACTAATATTTTAAGTGATAAATAATTTACTATGGAAAGCGTGAAGCTTGAAATTTTTGGTAAATACTCAACTAAATGTGATCCAAATGTTACTCTCTACAAGGTGGTTGCCAGTATCAGAATATCTATAGACACTAATGAGGTCAGAGTCTGAGTACTCTCTTGGAACCTAATGGTGGAATTTGAAGTATAATATCCAGCCCTTGCTATCACTCAGATAAGATGAATAACAGCATTACAACCAGGCCAGGATTACAGGGTCCAGTGCCAGGACTTTTAACATTAGTCCATGAAATCAAACCTAAATAAAAACTGAAAATATAGGTACATATATGAAATAATTTAAATATAAACAAAATTTAATATTCTAAGAATATTCAATCTATATTCCAAAGGAGTTGGAATATATGAAGAAAAATGCATGAAGTTTGGAGGAGGATTTATTAACAAGCTGTGATACGTAGATGAAATTAAAATAACATTGCTTGCTGAAAGTGAAGAAGATTTGAAAGAGATGCTTAAGAAAATTAAGAGACCGCAGCCTTCAATATGGATTGCGACTGGACCAATAAATAACAATATTACAAATGGAAAAAAGGATTGATGTTAAGAATTTAATTTTACTTGGATCAATAATCAGTGTTCATGGAAGCAGCAGTCAAGAAATCAAATGAAATATTACATTAGGTCAGTGGTTCTCAACCTTCCTAATTCTGTAACCCGTAATACAGTTCCTCATGTTGTGGTGACACTCCCCCACCATAAAATTATTTTCATTGCTACTTCATAACTGTAATTTTGCTACTGTTATGAATCAGGCGACCCCTGTGAAAGGGTCATTCAACCCCCAGGTGAGGACCACTGCATTAGGTAAATCTGCTGTAAAGCTGTTCAAGAAAATAAAGATGTAACTTTGAGGGCTATGGATGCACTGGCCCTAGCCATGCTATTTTCAATTGCCTCATAAGCAAGTGAAAGATGGCCAGTGGTGCTGACAAAGAAGGCTGCCAGAACAAACAATTCTGCCTTTGAAAGACGTACAGCCAGAATGCTCTGTACAAGTGAGGATGGTGAGACTGCCTCTCCTGTATTTTGGACATTTTATCTAGAGAAACCAGTCCCTGGAAAAGGACATCAAGCTTGGAAAAGTAGATCAGTAAAAAGAGGAAGACCCTCATGGCATGCATTGATACAAGTGGCTGCCACAAAGGACTAAAATATAGCAGGTGTGAAGATTGCACAGTGCTTGGTGCTGATGTACAATGGGTTGCTATGAGTTGGAAATGGAACACCTAACAACAAGCGTCAAGCCACTAACATCTTTGTGGAAAAGGGTGGAGAATTTAGTGTCCAAAAGATACTGTTTTTCTAAAATTGAATGTTCATTTAATTCTTACCCAATGTGGGGACATACCTAAGAGAAATTGCTATTATCTTCTCAGATTAGCAACTGATTTAAGCCTATATAGTAGTCAATTTTTAAGTTTGCTAATACTTGGATTATCATCCTTATGATATATTGTAACTACTTAGCTAAAATTTCATAATGGAAATACTTTTAAGGTATTTACCATGAAATAGACACTATGAAACTCAAAAGGACAAACTCAATAAACAAATACTTATTTAAATATACAAAAATATTTTTAAATGTGGGGGAAAAGGCCTTGGGGGCAAATAGGCTACGACAAAGATGGGGGAAACATTTCATTGCTTAAAACAAAATCTCTTCCTACTGTCAAGTCTTCATTGTTGCTAAAGATCAGTCTTCTAAATACGAGCTACGGCACTGTGGCGGTGGGGTGGTCTGTTACCATACACACAACTCTGTCCAGGGGAAAGTCACTTTTCCAATTATGGACTACCTTGTCTTCCGAGGGTTTCCTAACGGTCTGTCCTACAGACGTTCCTACTTTCACACCGCTGTTTCTGCATGCTTACCAAATATAACTTGTACGATACTGGTGGTTATGTGTCAATCATTGTGTTTGTTTCCCCCTTTCTCCTCTCCTCTCCCCACCGTCCCCCTACCCTCGTGGTATCGCTACTCCCATTCCTGTTCCTGGATTCTGTGAGAACACAGGATATTTTATGCACATTTGTCTCTTCAAGGAGGAATACAGCCCTTGACACATACATAACATACATTTTGGTATTTTGCATCCCAAATTAGCTTTGATTTATCCATATATATATATATACTTCAGAAGGAAATTTTAAAAATATGTTATATATCTATGTATATCTTAATTTACATATAAACTTTAATTTCCTTCTGAAATCTGTCATATGAAAGCATTTTGGTGAGAAATTTACAAATCATGTAAAACTGTCATGAGGTAATTGAAATCAACTGGTATAAAATATCTTACACGAATGAGACTTACCCTGAAGAAATAATTAAGTGAAAAGACATTCAGATATCCTTTGTTCTCAATATCAAGTAGTTTGAAAATATACTGCAGAGCGGCAGGTTCTTTTCTGTTTTCTAATGCCAGAACGAAGTCAAGGTAGGTCTTGTAGTCCTATAACGAGGAAAGGACACTTCACTGGAGTTAATCTTTTACGGGAGCATCTGATGACTGGAAGCTGTTGAGCTACAAGGCCTAAGGAGTCCTACACAGACACTATATTGTTATCTTAATTAAAGCATAGTCATTTTGGAAATTATCTAGAACTAAGAGATTACATTTAAGAAGCTATTTTGAAATACTGTTTAAATACTACAAACTAGATGATCTCCACTTAGGTTGCTTTTTAAGAAAAACATCTTTAGACAGTGAACTCAAACTGTTCTTATCCAAGAGAGAGGCAAGGGTTCAAATAAGAGTTCACGAAGAGAACCCAGAGTTTTCGCTACCCAAGGGAGACACACGTGGCATCTGTTGCAGGGTGAAAAGACGACGACTACTTGGGAAAGTCTCATTTAGAAAATCAGACTATTCTTAGAAAGGACTGTACATAGGTTACGATCAAGAACGTCTACATAAATTGAAGTACAACAAATTACAGGAATGCAGCCTCATCATGGCTGAATTCCAACCCTGATGGTGGCCTCTAGTTTTCTCTATTCCCCAAAAGTCAGTAGTATACTAAAGGCTCCCCTCTGCCACATGTCAATAGCTGTGAGGCACAAAATAGTTTGGGAGGCTCTCCCCTCTTCCCTTGCAGTTGTCTAACAACACTGTTTAGCAAAATATTAAAGGGGAAACGTAACACTTACAATGTTTTTTCCCCCGACAATATGACTTAAGCATTTGCTTTGGAAAATTTGCCAGATTCGTAACATGTTTTTAACAGCAAAAATGGTGACTTAAAAGGGCACTGAAAATGTTCTCTCAAGTATGTTGCCTAACAGTGGTCATAGGTTAAAAGTATATTACGTGACCTTTAGCAACGTGCCTAGCCTCTTCTAGAATGATTAAAAAAAAAAAAATGCTGATTCTTAGATGTAAGCCATAGCAGATATGGTACTATTATTTGACCTAATTTAATAATTATCGAGATGAAAAGTCAACAGGACCTCTAAGTTTGTCAGATAATTTTTTACTACTTAGTATTCCTTTATAATAGGTACATTGATAATTAAATGAACACATACTACAATTTTCTACTTATCTTGAGCCCATTAAGGAAATAGGGTTTTTAGGAAAATTTGTTAATAGTAAAGGATCTGGATCTCAGATAATTTATCTGTCCATATTCTTCTTTGTGTGTGTCCATACTTTTCAAGACATTGTTCCCGAATCTAAACTCCCTGCCATTCAGCTGGTTTCAACTCACAGCAACCCTATAGGACAGTAGGGTAAGAATCTGCGCAGGCTGCCACATCATTTCCCTATGGGAGAGACGGGAGGTTTGAACCACTGTGCTTGTGGATGGCAGCCTCATATGTAACTGCTGCACCACCAGGGCACCTTGCAAAATGCTGCTGTGTCACATCAAAAACGGGGTCTGGACTTCATTCTCTGTCAGTCATGAGCGAGCAAGCAGGAGACTGTTCGGCAACAGGAACAGAGCAATGCTTAAATCAAAGGAACTTGTTTCTTTAAACTCATCTGGCAGTGATTCTGATAGTGAAGTTGACAAAAAGCTACAGAGTTTGAAAAATCAAGTTGCTCCTGAAAAACCTGTAAAGAAACAAAAGACTGAGGATGCTTCCAGAGCTCTGTCATCGTCCAAGCAGAGATGATAACATGCTCCACATTGGGAAAATGCGTATGTCAGTGTTTGAGACTTCAAAAGGAAAGTCCTCGTTGATATTAGAGAACGTTGGATGGATTAAGAAGGTGAAATGAAACCAGGCAGAAAAGGTATTTCTTCAAGCCCTGAGCAATGGAGCCAGCCGAAGGAACAGATTTCTGACATTGATGACGCAGTAAGAAAACTACAGAACCCGAGCCCTATCCAACCTGCACTGTTCTCATCGTTTTAACCTGTCCTTTTACACTGGATTTTCTTCCCTTTTTTACGTGGCTTTTATTTTCTGTTGTTTTTCAAGCTATTGTATATTTGGATTGCAGAAGAATTAATAACTTTTTAAAAATGTGCATTATTAAAAATGTCTTCAGTGAAGCTAATTGTCAACTTTAAGGAGGCCTGCTTGTGCCCTAGTGTGAAATAAAGTAATAATACTTTTGAAAAAGGGGCCCTGGTGAGACTGGTAACCTTTTTCCAACATATCAAGAGATTGAAAGTACTACCATTTCTCCATCATAAGTGAGACACTCCTGGAAGACACGGTCTAAGAAGACATTGGTCATCGTTGCTGTTCCATAGCGGGAGAGTTCTTCTTTACTGAGCATGCCATTGTGATCCTTATCAAGATTCAAATATTGACCTGGGGAAGAGAGATGACGAAAAGACACTTCTTATCAAAACAAACTAATTAAAAATGATAAAAGATAGTAGCAAGAAGTTTTTTAATTAGTTAATATTTTGATTTCTCAAACAGTAGTGTTCTTTATCAGATACCCTTGCAAACTTGATCAAGACAACTATTAAAGTAGAACGGTCAGAGAAAAGCAGACGTGAAGGCCATGGTCTTTGGGCTGTTTCATTTATGTCATCACTTGGTTTCAGTTGCAAACTTTTAGGACTTTCCCAGGGTTCTCAATTAGCTGGAGGTTGGGGTCAACAAGAATCACTGATGCTCGCTCGCACTTGAAAGCAGATTTCAAGGATGTCCTAAAGAAGGCATCCTGGGAAGAACCACTTAACAATATAGCAGACAAAAGCAAACTAATAAAGTTCAGTAACAGAGCAAACCAGGCCCTAGCCTACCTACCTACCTCTGCCCAGAGAACAGCATTAAAAAAAAATCATTTTATTAGGGG